GTGGGCCGTGAGCTCGTTCCGTTTTACCAAAGAATAAAAAAAACTTACCAAAAAGCAGATCGTTACACAAAAATAAAATAACTGAAGCGAGAAAAACACGAACCCGATCGGAACGCAAATTTAAAATTTAAATGGCAGTTCTCGGTATTCACTCGCTCGCTTACACAGTGAAGTCATAAACCAAGTTAAATATAGACTTTTCCAAATTAAATTATCATTGTTTGTATGCTAAGCGCTGTTTCGAACTTTTAGAAGAGATTCGTAGTAATAAAATGAAGCAACGGTGTTGTACTTTCAAATATCTATACAGACAAAAGAAATCGATTAAAGCATTGCATTGTCAAAATGATTACCTTGTTTCTCTCTTGGTTTGCAACATCTAATTAGACATACTCGTGTTCGACTAATGATACAAATTCAATCCTAACCTATATACTTAGTCTGGCCATAAATACTGTTTCAATTAAAAAATAAAAAAAAATCTATTGCAAATAACATTTATTACTTTTACAGTGTGTTAGTTTAATACATAAATATAAAACAATTTAAAGTATAAAAAGCTTATACGAAGCGGTTTCCATTGGCTGCAATACAGTCCTTTAAACGTTGAGGCCAGTTATCAATAGAAGCACACACTCTGTCCATGGGAAAAATTCTCACTGCCAATCGTACGGATTGTTTTAGGGAATCCAAATTATCATGGCGCTTAGAGCAAGCCGTACTCTCTAAAACTGACCATAAATCATAATCCAGCGGATTAAGATCGGGACTAGACGACTGGCAGTCTTCAGCTCTGATGAAGTCCGAAACGTTCATTTCCAACCAAGACTGTGTAGACCGAGCTTTATGACCTGGCGCTGAGTCTTGCTGGAAGGACCATTCTTGATTACTGAACATGGTGTTGTTAAGGGGCTTCACTACCTTCCCAAGAATGATATCTTGATACACTTGTGCCGATGTTTTGATACCTTTTCCACAAAAGTATGGCTCAGTCACTCCTTCATAGCTAATACCCCACCAAGCTTGAGTGAATATTGATGCTGTTTTAACAGCTTAGTAGTCCCGAGCTTACTTACTTTGGATTCATCGTGTTTCACAGCGCCGTCAGTTACACATTTATTATATAGGTATACACATGTATGCATTTTTATTGAACGAGATTGGTGGAGGAAGTTACGATAAGCCTAATGTTAGCGTTAGGGCATTAAGCGTTTCTGGAGCTCAGGGACACCACCATGGAATTCCGTTGCTTATCATGAGATACATAAAAATATCGTAATATTCTACCCTTCAAAACAACAAAAGACACAATGGCGGTACCTACATACCTATTGAATTTTATGATATTGTACAATTCAAAGACGCTGACGTATTATGAAAGAAGTTTTGTTAAATTGTTTTTGGCGCTTGCTTTCATTAACTTATCGTAAGATCGGAAGTGAAATACTGTTAATAAAATAACAATTATCGCCCAAACGAATTTTTAAGTAAACAACCTTTCCAATGGGATTTATTTACCCTTTGATCTTATATTCAAAGTACAATTTTCAAACAAAGTTAAACTCGAGTAATGAATGAAACAATTAAAGAGAACGGACTTCCAAATTACACAGAGTCAAATCGACAGAATTTTCGCACGCGATCACGTCACAAAATATCCGATCCGTCTGCTTCCACCATCGACTTTTAATTCGTCGTTGTTGACATTAGTTTTCGGGCGACCACTAGGGTTCAGTTTTCAGATCAATATTTCCATATCGGAAGCGTTCAAACGAACGTTTTTCACTGGTGGTAGGACCTCTTGGGAGTCCGCACGGATAGGTACTACCACCCCGCCTATTTCCGCCGTGAAGCAGTAATGCGTTTCGGTTTGAAGGGTGGGGCAGCCGTTGTAACTATACTGAGACCTTAGAACTGATATCTCAAGGTGGGTGGCGCATTTACGTTGTAGATGTCTATGGGCTCCAGTAACCACTTAACACCAGGTGGGCTGTGAGATCGTCCACCCAACTAAGCAATAAAAAAAAATTTTTTGCCCGCCCTACATAAATAAAGTTTCAAATGGTGCTGTTAGAGCAGTTAATATTTGTAATGTTACTACTTCTTCTTTGTTGCCTGCACGAGTCTCCATGATTGCATATGTCTTTACGTCAGCAAATGTGAATAACGTGACAGTAAATTTGCGAAATTAGCATTTATGTCAATAACTAAACGGTCGTGTTTCCGTCTTTGAAAATCGTGGAATGCGATCTATTGCTTCTATACCTACGCTATCACTTCTAGATAAATGCCAATTAAACATTGTAACTGTCCACCCACCCAATTCAGATCTTTCAGTGTAATTTACTGAGCTGGAACTAACTGAGAGCAGAGAAATATGAAGCTGCCTTGAGATTAATGAGTGAATTGTCTTTCAAATTTAGAACTTTTCCATGACCAGTAGGTACTGAATCTTAAAGAAATAACACATTAAAATTGTTTCATTGGCTTTTGAAGTATTTCTCTGTCTATGAACACCAAAAAAACATTTCGATGTATGTGTGGCATTCGTGGCTTCATTCATTCTTCTGTTACGAGGAAAACCGACTCATTTCGAATCTAAAAACGGCTTAGTGAAGGTTTATCTATCCAATTAATCTATTATATTAATTAACGAAACCCACCGGCATTACAGGCACACCAACCACACTCACTTGGAACCAACCACACTTGGAACACAAACGAGGCCTGGGTTAAAGAATGGTCAGCCAGATGTATCCCACCTGAACTGTTCGAACGAAATCCACACTCCCACCCACCTGGTTTCAAAGAAAAACGCCCAATCTGGTGCATGCTTAACCACCTGAGAACGGGAGTTGGTCACTGTAACCAACTGCGGAAGAAACGGGGCTGGACGGAAAACGAAAGCTGTGAATGCAGATGCCCAGAGCGAACTGTACGCCATATTGTCATGGAATGCCCAGTAACGAAATTCGCAGGCCAAGTGGAAGATCTCAAAAATGTAACAGAAGAAGCTATCGATTATTTCACAAACTTTAAATTTAAATTATAGCCACGCACTGTAAACGAATGCCATACGATAAATAAATAAAATAAAATCTCTGATTTATTTGTCAGTAACTAGCTAACTAAACATCATGCATTTAGTAACACGGTTTTATTGAGCGGTTTTATTTACGACACGGCTGATGTTTACTTATAATTGAAAATCTCTTAATAGTCGAGTTCATAGTAGGAAGTCGTCGTGGCCTAAAGGATAAGACGTACAGTGCACTCGTATGTAGCGATGCACCGGTGTTCGAATCCCGCAGGCGGGTACCAATTTTTCTAATGAAATACGTACTCGACAAATGTTCACGATTGACTTCCACGGTGAAGGAATAACTCTCTTTTTTCTCCACCTTATCCCACTATGTGGGGTCGGCACAGCTAATTTTTCTCTTCCATTCTCTTCTATCAGCCGTCATCTCAACACTCACTCCTCTCTCTCTCATATCGTCATTCACACACTCCATCCATGTCTTCTTCGGTCGACCTCTTCCCCCTCTACCTTGCACTACCATTTCCATACATCTCCTAATCACATGCATAATGAAGGAATAATAGTGAAGGAATAACATCGTGTAATAAAAACCAAACCCGCAAAATTGTAATTTGCGTAATCACTGGTAGGACCTCTTGTGAGTCCGCACGGGTAGGTACCACCACCCCGCCTATTTCCGCCGTGAAGCAGTAATGCGTTTCGGTTCGAAGGGTGGGGTAGCCGTTGTAACTATACTGAGACCTTAGAACTTATATCTCGAGGTAGGTGGCGCATTTACGTTGTAGATGTCTATGGGCTCCAGTAACCACTTAACACCAGGTGGGCTGTGAGCTCGTCCATCCATATAAGCAATAAAAAAAAAAAAAACTGAGATTATTTTTTCAAATTGTTATTTTAATGATGTTTGCTGTTACCATGTGGTTCCAAGAAATCTTAAAAAAAAAATCAAAATTGTACTGATACTAATTTATTGGAAAAGAAATAAAAATAGTACAAGCTGTGAAATGTTTCTGCAGCAAAAACCAAATCTACTCTGAACGAATGTAAATAATAATTCTCTATATATTATGACTATGTCACCAATTGTATAGTCTGCGATTTTACACATATTATACTGGCATTATGTTTAATGGCATTAACCGATAAGTCTGAAGACAGCGTCGGAACGCCTCTTCGAGAAAGCGGCGCCGCGCGATAATCCTCTTCGTCTAATAAACATCGTGTGTTAAAACTTAAAGTCACAATGTCTTATAAATTTGTGAATATACCCGTGATAAGCTAGTTTATAAGCCCGCACGGGAGGTACAATTATTTCGAATATATCTGCTTCAAAGCAGTCACAAACAATTGAGATTCTGGCTTAATATCTCAAAGTGGCAATAACCATACCATACAGGTACACCGTCAGTCGGTTCAGTTTCAACGGTAATAAGAAAAATAATTGAATAAACGATTTTTTACAACCGCGCCACACATTCAAACGTTGAGTAAATAATACTCTGTATTTTGGGATTCTGAGAGCGTGCCTATGCATAATAATTAAATTTCTTATCTTGGAAAGTGCTTAGAATAAGGCTATTTGTTCTGTTGTGAGATATTCGTTGTAACGCCGTGATTATGATCTGCGCTGATCTAGGAGTAGAATTATTTTTTGGATACGCTGAAAAATTCCATACTTGCTAAGGTTACGCTACTCAAAGCGCTTAGTCACATAGTTTTGGCCGGCCAAACTATGTGCATTGCCATTTACCGGCATTATCTTTGAAATCCTTGAGTAGTGGCTTTTTAAGCCAACCACACACACTAAACCACATAATTCCATTGTCTATAATTGCAAACCAAGCTTATCTAAATAATTACTGTTTTACATAAGTGAGGATTAAATGGTCGTAAGTGTAACAAGCGCATGTAAATTGTAAATTCACCTTTTCGGTGTATTGACACTAGACACACTGACCTTATTGGGTTTCTTCTGGTTCGTTTGATTCGTTTTGTTGCAGCAGACGTCGGCAGAATTGCTCTTCTTAATTGTGGTTGCGGGAAGTAGCTGATTGTTTTTATAGCTCGCTTGATGCGTCACTGTCGACAAAGATAGCTTTTAGAGCAGAGCTTGGAGCTTGTTAAATGTTATTGAAATTATTGATAGGCTAAGTAGTAGTAATTGGCAGCATATTCGAACATATTAAATTCTCTATTAATATTCCATATTAATATATAATATTCTCTATTACTACCCTATGAATAATATAAATTCTCTCTTGTTACATATTACGTTCAGTTATATATGGTATTATGGTATTATTAATGGTTTTTGGAACGAAGTACCTTATCGCGCGTTGTGAAAGGGGGCTTTTTTTTTTTTTTTTTTTTTTTTTTTTTTTTTTTTTTTTTTTTTTTTTTTTTTTTTTTTTTTTTTTTTTTTTTTTTTTTTTTTTTTTTTTTTTTTTTTTTTTTTTTTTTTTTTTTTTTTTTTTTTTNATGTCAGAGTCGAACTGACTAAAACCTCCTGTCGCTCAACAACCAACGTCCAAACCTCGCATGAGAAAAGAAAAAATTCTTACGAAAAGTTGTCACGACACTTTTTAGATCCGTCATTCTGACCAATCAACGTGTAGGCGCTTATCACGTGACATTGCTCGTATCCGATTGGTCCGCGTAATGAGTACAGTTTCTCGAGATAGCGTTTCAACAATAGTAATTTAGTTCATAGTATTGTTTTTTTTTCTTCATAATGCCGTAATTTATTATTATAACTTAAAAAAAAAATACAATTCCTTCACTAATTAATCGAAAGGAACTTCGTTCCATCCGGGTGTCCCTTGACACCTCTGAAGTTTATTCAATTTGTGTGAGCTGAGTTGTCGAGCAACATCTCTCTTGATATAAAACTAGAACGAAATTGGCAAAAGCGGATACATATCGGGCAGGCAAAATTGGAGATTGTGGACTTTTCTCAGATTGGTGGTTCTTGAACAAGGTAACATGGAGACGAGATCCATGTTACCTTTAAATCAACAGCAGTACCTAACGTTGATATAACCTCTCAAGGCTATCAACAATAGGTCGGGACAAAAAAACAGTACTTGATATAGGTTACAAGGTTTCCACTGGGAGCAAGCACATATTTTCCGGGATGTTTTTCATGTTGGGCTTTAGTTACTGATTTTTGAACAGCTATAACGCAATATTAATCATAGCTGAGAAGAATCCGATAAACTTCAGGGCTTAATCTTCTCAAAAATAGGTTTAATATCACAACGGAGAAAAAGACTTTTAGTAGTTAGTTTAGTAGTAGTTATTTTTAGTAGTAGTTAGCCCTGCTTAGTAGTTGAGAAAAACGGAGAAAAAGACGCTTTTGCTATTTTTGATATAAAAACGGTTTGAGTTTAGATTGAAGAATTGCACACAACCACGATCACAATATAAATCTATCTTAAAAGGAAAAATAGTTGAAAAGGAAATTCTTCTATTTTTTAGAAAACGGGTGGATCGAAGCCTCAATAAGGGACCACATTCATCCATTCGCGGAGACAGGTTTGAACTTCCAAGTCAAGGAAATAGCTGTCAAGAAACTCGACATTTCTACTACGATGTTTTGTGAGGCTTTGTAGTTTCGAAAAATGTTCCTGAATAGAAAATTCAATCTTTTGGGAACCTTAAATAGGTTAGTGGTGTCAATTACAATAGGTAACTTGTTTAATACTGGTTTAATTAGTGCGTTATTTTTTAATAAACTAGTGCGCGCTGAGTTGTCGGATTACTACCATAATTGCTGACACCTCCAGATTTATCTAGATAAATCTGTATAGGCAGATATAAAGATAGCTTTAAAATGCTATGTACATTTTACCTACACTATGTAACATGTAGTATTTTTATTGCATAGATAGGCGAACAAGTGATGTAATTTACGAATATCTGGTATTAATTGGTTATTGGGGCTCATCAATCTGAGTGAACCCCAAACGTGAGTCCCAACTGCTTGGGATATTAGGTCGATTTTATAAAGGTTGCCCCGATTTTGAGATTGGGATGCACGACTGCATCGCAGCGGAGATATGCAGAATGGTGGTACATCCACGTGTGAGGTTACGATTCGCTCTACCTCCCCCTCCTTCCTTCTTCAACCCGTGTCCACCCAATGCTTAAGGTCTCTTCAAATGCACCAGATTCTCTTCGGTCTCTTGCCTTTCCCATCCAGTCTCTACCAACCACCTTGACCAGGTCAACGGTCCACCTCGTTGGCTGTCTGCCACCATGAGTAGCTTATTCAAATGAAATGAAGTTTCAATCATAGGGAATTTTTCATCGCAGAAGTGAAATGAGATAACTCAAGCTACATATGTCCTAGTAACTACAATGTGTGTACACGGTTTCACGTAGTTGCATACTAATCGACTAGCAGTTTATAGACCAGAAAATTATATAGCTAACTTTACATCCTCGGGAAATGCAGCGTATTTAACTCTATCTAAATTACTCATTTAATGCCGGTGAAAACGCGTACAGCACATCCACGAAATAATATTAAATTCTGAAATAGAAGCCTATTTTTTAATTTTCTAATAATGTTCACCGTTTTTCATTTTAGCTGTAAGTGCATATCAGATTTATATGAATACTTATTTTCTTAAGTGAAACTTTCAGTTCTATGGCTAATATTTACACTCAATTTACTCATATCTACTCATATTAGCTTCGAAAATATCGGGGTCAAAAATATATATAATTTCGGTGTCGTATTTATGCAATAGGGCAATAATTATTTTAATTATAATAATTGTATTATTGTATTGGTGTACCCAGTACCCAGTGTCAATGATTTTGCTAATTCATTCAGAATAAACTGTCGAGCTTGGCGAGTAAAAGTAATTTATTCTTCAATGAAATACTATTCGAATTCCACATGTGTCCACGGAGTCCCCGTTTAATATCCTTTACTGGTCGTCAAATAATATATCAGAATTTACGGATCCCTTCCCACGACTTTCCAATTAACGCTAAAACTCGCAATCGGTTCGATTATATATTTTATAATTTTCGAATATGTTTGATATCTCTGATGGAAAGTTTTGAATTGATCACGTTTTTTTTTTCTTTTTTATTCCGACTCTTCTGTCATTTTGGTTATTTCATTAAAACTATAGTTTTTATGATTAATAGCATCGAAAAACAAACCTTCAGGTATACTATTGCCTAATTAAACTAATGTGGTTATATGAAAGCGTAATTTAGTAAATTCCATACATAGCTCTGCTTAGTAAGTATTAGTAGTTCAATTAATTATAATTTATTACCTATAATCTTCACCTCCAATAATTTTTTTGCAAAATGAAGTCGGGGATGCTCAAATGAACCTCTGATGCAAAATTTTCTCCATTGTTTTAAGCGGACCTCAATTTATTCTTGGCTAAACAGCTAGCTATGCACGATAATTTTTCCCTTTGAACATTAAATTTTATGGAAAGAGCTCTAGTAAATTCATGCTAATAATGGCCTACATAAAAAGGTTTATTGGTATTATGAGACCGACGAAGCCACAGTTCGGAAAACGTTAATGCCACCGCTGATTTGCAGAGACGGAGTTAACATACTTGCGTCATCTCTATATAAAAATGAATTGCTGTTCGTTAGCCTCGCTAAAATTCGAGAACGGCTGGACCGATTTGGCTAATTTTGGTCTAGAACCGATATGGCTAATTTGAAAAAAAATTTGTCTTGAATTATTAGTGGAAGTTCAAAGAAGGTTTAAAAGGTAAATAAATATGAAAATGCTTGGAATTAAATAGAAATAACAATTTTGTTTTCCCTTCGATGTGTCCCCCGTAGGACGGATTCCTTTGGTTTGTTTTAAGTTGATTTTATACAAAAGTTTAGGTTTTTTTTTATCGATTGACGCATTACGAAATCTGCCGGGTCAGCTAGTATTTAATATAATATCAAAATTAAAACAAGGCTACTAGTAGTTACTGGCGAAGTGGAAGAAAAAGTATGCGCGGCCACAGTCGACAGGAGTCGTCCTGGCGTAAAGAATAAGACGTCTGGTGCATTCGTATCCAGCGATGCACCAGTGTTCGAATCCCGCTGACAAGTACCAATTTTTCTAGTGAAATACGTACTTAACAGATGTTCACGATTGACTTCCATGGTGAAGGAATAACATCGTGTAGTAAAAATGAAACCCGCAAAATTATAATTTTCGTAATTACTGGTGATAGGATGTCTTGTGAGTTTGCACGGGTAGATAGCACCACCCTGCCTATTTCTGCCGTGAAGCAGTAATGGGTTTTGATTTGAAGGGCGGGGCAGCCGTTGTAGCTATACTGTTACCATAGAACTCTTATCTAAAGTAGGTGGCGGTATTTAGGTTGTAGATGTCTATGGGCTTCGGTAACCACATAACATCAGGTGGACCGTGATTTCGTCCAACAAGCTAAGCAATAAAAAAAAACTGTGTGTCTAACCACATCCGCCACACGCTCGAGTGCACCGCATACGATGATCTCCGCGCAGCCAAAGACAATATCGTAAGTACTGAAGTCATGGATGGAACTGGTCGACCCTCAGGCCTTTGGAGCGTGTCTGGAAGTTTGCACGTTGTGGGCTACTCCCACATATATGTATACTTACATTTACGTATGCCACACATTTGGATTTAGTTTCGACACACAGCCAAACATTGGATTAGACAAACGCACCGAAAACCAGTTTGTTGTGACAATCGCCTGCGCAGAGCGGCCGGTGTACTACCACACTGAATCAGAACCTACCCGCAACATGTAAGTCTTGCCCATGCTTTACTGGTATACCTTTTTTTTATTGCTTAGATGGGTGGACGAGCTCTCAGCCCACTTGGTGTTAAGTGGTTACTGGAGCCCATAAACATCTACCACGTAAATGTAAATGCGCCACCCACCTTGTGATATAAGTTCTAAGGTCTCAGTATAGCTACAACGGCTGCCCCACCCTTCAAACCGAAACGCATTACTGCTTTACGGCGGAACTAGGCAGGGCGGTGGTACCTACCCGTGCGGACTCACAAGAGGTCCTACCACCAGTAATCACTAGAGGTACGTTCTGTATGTTCTGCATTTCAATACTTCTATTGGGCTAGTTTCTGTATATACCCATCTGTTTAATATAGCTGAGACTAATATTGTGTGGGTATCTTAATAAATCTTGTGTAAGCAACCAAAGTGATGAAACTTAGCTACGGCTATTCGGCAGTTCATTCACATCGCCCAATGTACACAGCCGATGGACGTTTATCTTTCGTCGCCTAGATGTCATCCGCAGTGACCTTAACTATTGTTTTGCGGAGTACGGGTTCGATACTTTAGTATTTGGTCTCTTGGAAATCCGCGACGCATGCGAACATTTTGATCTTATCTTAAAAGTGATAAAAGAATGAGCGTGAATCGCAGAATTTGTTATTTACCACGAAAACTATACTGCTATGACATGTATGTACAAACGAGGTTCCAAAAGCCCTTATTTAGTTTGTTGGTAGGTTGTGCCTGAAGCATTGCTGATGACCAGGAGTAGCAGTGATCACTCACGATTCGATGGGCCAAAAACTAATAGCATATTAAAAATATTCGAAAGCAATACTTACAATGCCTCTGCCAATTGAAATTATGTTGAATCTCGTGCCGCATTCCTCGCCACAACTTGGTGACGATCAGACAATACGCGAAGGACATGATGAAGAACGGAAGGAGGAGAAGTCCAGCGTCCAGACCAAGGTTGAAAGCACGTTCCAGTTCGAGGCTACTCCACACTTCTCGGCATTTGTGGGCTGTGAACAAAATGAGAATTAGACGATTCTTATTATACTTGAATATAGTTTGGGTATAACGGTTTTGATTGTAAAGAACCAAGATACGACAAAAATATGTAGTAATTTCTTTTTAATAGTAAAATATGTAGTAATACTCCAAAATGAAATTGATCGTGAAAGGGAAAAAAAGTATCTTCACGATAAGAAATCCTAAATATTTTCTGAATGAAACGAATATAGTCAAAGCTAGACGGCTTTGAAGAAGTCAGCAAAGACATTTTTGTGGTGTCTTTTTTTTTCGGAACTGGAGAGCAGCGGCGCAGAATGAAATCAGCAGACGACGCAGATAGGTGTGAATGGAGGTGAATCTATGCATCACAGGCATGTTTTGTGAGAGTCACGGCCTAACAAGAACAAAAAATAACGATAGCATCCCTCCAAGATTGTACCCGATTTGAATAATTATTTCTCAGCATTGGGCTAACTACATTTATAAATGTGATTTGATTTTTTTCCTACCTACGTTGATGAACTTGAGACACCATATCAGCGTCACCGGGCTAGTAGGTGAGCTCGCGGGGCTCAAACCTGACGTTGTTGCTAACACGAACCCTGGTCTTACTAGCAAGAGCAGTGCTTCGCAGAGTCTACCATCGGATCAGAAACGCGACCCACTGAGAAGATCCGACGAGAAATTTAGTGGGCTGTGTCTGTGGGTTAATTTACTCGTCGAGCTCTTCGTCGCAAGCGACGGGTTCGACGAGAACGATGACCGGTGTTTTTCCGGACAGCAACAGTAAAACGTCAATTGAAATTTACCATTATTATAAAATGTCAAAGTATGGAGTTTTTTTTTGCAATATTTATGAATAACAGAATCGAATTAGATCCACAAATACAGTAGATGTTAAATCTAACGCGAACGTAATTTTCCACCACTCCGTTTGCATATTATTTATATAAATGGCAGGATTTCATGAATGAAGAAGCATTATTGTTCCAGAATAAATGCGACCTAGTTATAAAAGATTACGTTTTCGTTTTACCGATACGAGTATTTGTAATAAATCGTTATAATATCACGAATCACTCATGATATTCAGCTAATAGACAGAGACAGAGAATACTTGTCTTTTAAAAACTAAAATAGCATATCATCATATCAACACAAAACTTGTCTTAATTTCATCTTCATTGTGAAGTTCGTAATGAGTTTCGAAAGTTAATTATTCTGACATATCCAACGAACGATTTCTTAGAAATAGTTTGTAAATTTTATAGCTTGTTTTTATAGATCATAGATTTTATAGCCTCATCAAAACCTTTCACATGAACGGCAGCGTTTTAAACAAGAGAGCGATAATTTTTGCTAAAATCGGTATTGCTTTTTTGACGTGACAATGTCTTATACTTCGATGGAGCCGGCTGCACGTACGAAAAAACATGACTCATTGAGGCGTTCCATTTAAGGCTTTAAGTGCAAGTGAGAGCGCGCAACGAGCGACAAAGAGGCACAATCGGCCTCCGCATTCGGCAGCGTTCGACATCTGTCTCTCTCCTACTTGAGTGAGCGATGCATCCGCGTGGACAGCTGCTATATAATAATACATTTACATGTTTTCGTCAAGTATGAAGTTCAGTGAAAAGTGAATGTGGTGTTGTCAATTGTCCATACAAAATATCTATCAAACAAATAAAACCTACCTACATTTTTTTTTTATGTTTGAGTTGGCGATTATACAAGAGCTAAACTATTCGAAAAGTTCGCGGTAAGTGGTAAAATGGCCGAATATTTATAACTAGTGGTCGCCCAGTAGTCGAATTTCGACCATAATTAATTTAAATGATAAATTTGAACATAACTATGGTACTATTGTCAAAGACTATACTTTTATAATCACAGATTTCGCCAAGGTTACACATTTTAAAAAAAATATAGACAATATTAAAAGCAAACAATATTAATCTATTCTCAATTAGACCACATACTTTAACAATAAACAAAAGAGTATAAATGCGTGTGTATGTGTGTCAAATACATGGTAGTGTGTGTAATATTTTTTTATTGATTTAAAGTTTTTTTTTTTTTTCATGCATAATTTAAGAAAAAATAGCATTCTGTACTCCTTCTCGATAATCTCTGTAAGTTTGGGAAATTTCATACTCTTCCGTCCGCGCAATTTTTGTAAAAAGGGGTACAAGGTTTTTGCTTCGCATATTAATATATAGATAGTAGTACAGATACATTTGGTTTAAGTGTTTTTAGATTCATTTGATTTTGGTAAAATCCGCCATTGGAATAGTGAGATTAACTGAGAGTTTATCTGATTAAGTGAAGTTACATTTCAGTTTCAGCAAGCTGAGTAGTGGCTACGTAATGGGAACATACAAGTAGGAATGAGTTGCTCGCTCCGGGCATTTCAATATTGCAATAATTGTTACGTTATAATACATCTTGTAAAAATGAATATTTAAAAAAATCTAATATTTAAAAATATAATAATTTACTATTAAAAAAAAAAGACATGCCCGCTGAGTTTCTTGCCAGTTCTTCTCAGGACGGAGGTTAGTTTTTGTGAATTGGCGGTAGTTCTTTTTGACGTTCAACAAGTGTATACTTTCATTTATATTGAATAATTTTCTTTATTTCATTTGATTTGATAGTGATTCGTTTACGATTAATGCTATTGACAAGTTTTTAAGTGTTTAAAAACATAATAGTCTATATCGAGAAATGAAAGGCTGTGAAGGCGGTTTAAGCNTTTATAATCACAGATTTCGCCAAGGTTACACACTTTAAAAAAAATATAGACAATATTAAAAGCAAACAATATTAATCTATTCTCAATTAGACCACATACTTTAACAATAAACAAAAGAGTATAAATGCGTGTGTATGTGTGTCAAATACATGGTAGTGTGTGTAATATTTTTTTATTGATTTAAAGTTTTTTTTTTTTTCATGCATAATTTATGAAAAAATAGCATTCTGTACTCCTTCTCGATAATCTCTGTAAGTTTGGGAAATTTCATACTCTTCCGTCCGCGCAATTTTTGTAAAAAGGGGTACAAGGTTTTTGCTTCGCATATTAATATATAGATAGTAGTACAGATACATTTGGTTTAAGTGTTTTTAGATTCATTTGATTTTGGTAAAATCCGCCATTGGAATAGTGAGATTAACTGAGAGTTTATCTGATTAAGTGAAGTTACATTTCAGTTTCAGCAAGCTGAGTAGTGGCTACGTAATGGGAACATACAAGTAGGAATGAGTTGCTCGCTCCGGGCATTTCAATATTGCAATAATTGTTACGTTATAATACATCTTGTAAAAATGAATATTTAAAAAAATCTAATATTTAAAAATATAATAATTTACTATTAAAAAAAAAAGACATGCCCGCTGAGTTTCTTGCCAGTTCTTCTCAGGACGGAGGTTAGTTTTTGTGAATTGGCGGTAGTTCTTTTTGACGTTCAACAAGTGTATACTTTCATTTATATTGAATAATTTTCTTTATTTCATTTGATTTGATAGTGATTCGTTTACGATTAATGCTATTGACAAGTTTTTAAGTGTTTAAAAACATAATAGTCTATATCGAGAAATGAAAGGCTGTGAAGGCGGTTTAAGCTTAATGGAAGGCGGTTTAACCTTTATGGAACTTTACAGGAGAGCCATTTGAAGTTTAAAATTTGGAAAAAATATCATAAAAAAAAACTTCAGCTATTTGAAGGGAGTAAGCTTGATTAAGTTGAAATGTTCCTTAAACTAAATAGCCTTTCACCTCTCGATATTTTACGATGCCAAAATGAAGAACATTCCCATTGGTTGGAGAGAGCACTCGAGTGTTTTTACACCATATAGCCCAGTGTCGCTTATGTTCGCAGCAACTGAAGCCTTCATATTCTTCAGTCTTTACAACATTGAGAATGATATTACTGAATCACCTCCGCTGTACAACGTTTTTCGCTTTTAATTAATTTCGTTGCTATAATAACTTAGCTTCTACCTTCTAACTAATTACACAACGAACTCCACAATCAGTATTTCTTAATTGCGCTCACGACACTGATTCGTGGGCCGCCCGGAATTACATTCTGATTGACGTTCAGATAAAGTAAATTACTTACGGTTTTGAATACTCCCCTTGTCTCGATGGCTCGTTGCGAAAATAAACAGGACATTTCGGTTTTTAATAAATACGGTATAATTATTTAGGGAACTTATCGTTTTCTAAAGACTAGAGGTCCCACAGTAGTCGAAATTCGACTATAATTAATTGGAATTGTAAGTTTGTACACATACTATAATCACAAATTTCGCCAAGGCTACATACACTATAGAAAAATATTAATAAAGACAAAGAATATTTAATCTATTCTCAATTTGACCACAGACGTCAAGAACAAATGTTTGACAATAAATAGTATGCATGCGTGTGTGCGTCAAATACATGGTATGTGGTGTATGTAATGTTTTCTTTATTGATTTAATGTATCTTTTATGCATTATGTTAAAAAAATATTAGCATTCTGCACTTCTTCTCTATATTCTCTATAAGTGTGGAAAATTTCATACTTCTCTGTCCGCGCAATTTTCGTAAAAAGGGATACAAAGTCTTTGCTTCACGTATTAATATATATATTGGAAGAAAATTGTCGCAAAAGAATAATTATTTAAAAGTTAAATATATACGGAAATATAAAGCAGCCGGAATACCAGGCACCTTTGGTTTTCTTGGTAATAATGTGCCATATTCGTTTAAATCAGGATTTTGTCGGCAAATGCTATATGTGATTTTTGTGTAATGTGTAACATTCATTATTTCATTATTTTATCCTTATGTTTATTAGACCATCAATGGCAGACAAGATAACTGCCTGAGAGATCACCGTTTACGTAGTATTTAGTCGTGGGCTGAATAATCCGAATTATCCGAATAATCCGTATAGGCTGAATTATCTTCGCCAGTAAAGATATTATGTTTTTATTTTTTTGTGTACGCTTGCGTCTTTCT